CCCCCGGTGTCGGGTTTTGGAGCCGGTGGATGCTCCGTGTTTCGCCGCCAACGGCGGATTGGTGGGGATAATCGGTCAGATAACTGTTGCGTTGCGCATTGCCAATGTCACATTGTCGGTCCATGTTTTGGTTTCTACGTCCCTGGCTGTTCCGTGCTTGCTGGGGACTGATTTTCTCGCCAAAATGCCTCCAAAGATTTGTATCGACCAGGGCTGTTTGAAATTGGCATTTTTCTCGTCTCCAACCCGCATGCTAATGCCATGGTGCAAGCGCTTGCGTGCCGAATGGTGTGGATTCTGCCCGACGCACAAATGTTGGTGCCCCTTCGATTGCGTAAACCGCTTGATGCGCATGCTGTGGGGGACGATATTGTGTTGGGTCCCTCCAATAAACTTAGTCGAGGGATGTCACTCGTAGTGGCTCAGACGCTGGTGTCCTGGGACCAGGCACCATTTATCCAAGTCCTTAATGCCGGGTTGGACACTACGGTCATTCAGGAGGGTTCCATGATTGCACATGTGTCTCCGGCGTGTCCGGAGGCGGATGTCGTGGGAAATGTTGGGGTTGGCGTTCGGGCTCACGGACCTCGGGATGTGGATGAGGGCTGGATAGATAGACTGTGCTCTGAATGCGGCGATTTATCCGCGGGACAAATGGGGAAGCTGAGAGCGCTTCTGCAGGAGATTTCCGACATTGACACAGGAAATGCCGCCCCCATTCGGCAGAATCCTTACCACCTGGAACACATTCGGGCGGTGGTTGATGAGACTTTGGCCGCAGATATCATCTCGCCATCCACCAGTCCATGGGGTGCTCCGATCGTCCTTGTTAAGAAGCATGATGGCAGTTTGCAGTTTTGTGTCGATTTCCACAAGCTTAACAATGTTTCTGTTGTGGATGCATACCCCTTGCCTCGTATGGACGATTCATTGGACGCTTTGGCAGGCGTGTGGTTCTTTTCCATCCTTAACCTTCTGTCGGGCTTTTGGCAGTTGCTGTTTGACGAGGCTTCAAGGCCCAAGACAGCTTTTCGAACACCACCAGGGTTGTTCGAGTTTATCAACTTCCGATGGGGCTCCACTCCGCGCCGGCCACCTTTCAGCATTTGATGGAATTGGTTTTGGCGGGCCTCCTGTGGGATTCGTGCCTAATATATTTGGACAACGTCATTGTTTTCGGTCGCACATTCGATGAGCATTTGGATCGCCTGTGGGCTGTTTCGTTAAGATGCGTGCAGTCGACCTGAAATTCAAGCCCCAAAAATGTCACCTACTCCAAAAATCGTTTTGATACTTGAGCCATATAGTCAGCGAGTCGGGGAGCACGACAGACCTGGAGAAAACTGTTTGCGTTCAGACGTGGCTGACACCCACCTCGGCCAGCGAGGTGTGCAGTTTTATCGGCTTTGCCTCTTATTATCGCCGATTTGTCACAGGGTTCGCATGTATAGCAAAACCTCTCCAAACCTTCACAGCTAAGGGCCAACAATTTCATTGGGGAGAGGAGGAGGAAACTGTGTTCCGCTCTCTTCGTGATGGGCTGGTTAATGCCCCTCCCCTGCGTTATCCTGACTTTTCATTGCCATTCGTGTTGGACACGGACGCCAGTAATACTGGCATTGGTGCGGTGTTATCCCAAGTCGCAAATGGCGTGGAGCACGTGGTCGCATATGGCAGAAGGGTGCTGTCTCCGGCCGAGTAGCGGTCTACGTAACGCGCCGGGAGCTATTGGCCATTGTGGTTTTTGTGCAACAATATTGGCCGTACTTGTACAAGGTGACATTTCGAGATGCGCTCTGATCACGCGGCACTCCAGTAGGCGCTGCGTGTGGATCAGCCCTCCGGTCAATTGTCACGCTGGCTCAAAATGCTGCAGGATTTTTCGTCAAAGTCACGTATCGTAAGTGTTCTCGCCATACGAACGCCGATGCCCTATCGCGATTGCCAGCGGGCAGGGAGTGTGCTTGTGTTTCGGGTTCGGGTCATTGTCGACCGGCCGGCTCGATCTCCCCCTCCCCTCTCGTCGTTGCGTCTGCCATGGGCATGATGGGAGGGACGGGCGACGTCCCTGCTGCACGGGATGCGATTTTGGGGTTGGACTACGAGGTGCGGGGATGCCGGCAGGTGGAGGACGCGTCCCGCCTTAAGTTGCGCCGGCGTGTCAAGGAGACCGCCGATGGCACAGCTCCGCAAGGTATCGTCTCGTTTGTCCTGCGGGGCAGGCTGCTCATGTACTGGGACAGAGGATTGCGCCATTATGCTATTGTTGTCCCTACCACCCTGTGTGGTGAGGTTGTTTGGGCTGTGCATAAACGGTTGTTGCATCTCGGAGTGCAAAAGACGCTGGCCGCTCTTAAATTGGATTTTTATTGGCCGGCCACAGCCTACGACGTCGAGGATCTGCTTAAGCACTGCGTGCAATGTGCCCGGCGGAAGCCGCCAGCGAGATCCTGTTGTCCTCCACTACAATCCATCCAGGTGTTGCGTGTAAATGAAATTGTTGCCCTCGATATTCTCGGGCCGTTTCCTGCTTCCGCGCATGGAAATAGGTACTTGCTCTTGGGCGTTGAGTATTTATCACGCTGGCCTATGGCCTGGCCGCTCCCGAATCAATCGGCGGTGACTATTACCGAGGCGTTCCTCAATGGCTATGTTCTGGATAAGGGTGCCCCCAAGTGCCTCTTGATGGATTAAGGCAAAAAAAATGTGTTCAAGCTGCTGTGTGAGGTGTGATTTGCTGGGGACAAAAAAGGTATGCACGTCCCTGTACCACCCGCAAATGGATGGCATGGTCGAATGCTTACACCAGACTCTAACCTTCATGTTGAGTCACTTGGTCAGCGAGTCACAGGTCGATTGGGATTTTCATATTCCTGCGGTTCTCGCCGCTTGTAGAATGACCCCTCATGTGTCTACTGGCTACTGTCCCTTCTTTTTGATGTATGGAAGGGAGTATGATCTTCTCATCGATGTGCAGTTACAAGCCGCGCCCACCCTGAAGGTATCCAAAATTTCTGATTCAATTCGGTTCACGCTCGCCAAACTTTCCGAGGCGTGGGAAGCTCCCAGACAGTTGGCCAACGAGAGGGGCAAAGGTGCCCGTGTTTCCCTGTGCAAATGGTCGCCAGGGGACAGGGCCTAGTTGCATTGTCTGCAGGTGCCAGTGGGCACATCTCCCAAATTGCTGCAACCATGGAGAGGGCAGGTTGATGTCGTTCGAGTCGTTCAGCCGCAGTGTGTCCAGATTCGGTTTGGTAAGCAGAGCTGGTTTGTACACCCCTATCGTCTTAAGCCGGTTATCGTGCCATGTGAGTTTGTTTCATCTCCATATCGCAGGGGCCGAGTGTCGGGTGTGCCCGACGAGCTGGGGCATGCGTCTGCTGACGCGGGTCCTCAGGAGAGTGTTTCTGTTCCGCCCCCAGACACCGTGCGATTGATGCCTCGCACGCGGCTACTCGTGTCGGCCTCGTGTGCTCTGGATGTGAAGAACCCGACGACCCAGCCTACTGCTCTTCATGAGGAGTCAGCTTCGTCACATCGATTTCTTGTCAGCTTCGCCGCATCGATTTCCAGGACGATCGAGCCCAACCCGCCTGGAGGCCCGGCATCACGGACTCGTTCAAAGACTCGATTCGCGTGATCCCCGCACATTGCACACTCTCACACCGTCATGGGTTGTCGTGCTCGCATGAGTTGTGGCGAGTATTTGATTGATCCTGCTCGCCATCGAGCTCACGGGCATTGTTACACGTTGTGGGTGGGAGATGTTGATTGTGGGGATCTTATACAACGTGATTGTTGGGTTGTTCATTTTTATTTTCGCTGTTGTGTGTTTTTTTTCTCTTGGTGTATATATTTACAGTTAGATTTGGGTAATTTATTGCATTGTTCTGTTATTGTTGGAGCACACTTGTTTGTTGTTCTGTATAATTGTACGTCGGTTGCTGACTTTCGGGGGAGTTGGCAGCCGGAACGGCTGGAAGCTACGGAGGGGGGGGGGGGGTGATTTAGTGACTGTGAATGTCACTGTGTGGTGCCGGGCTTACAAAGCAATGGAGGATAATGTGTTGGCATTGTGTATAGCCCGCTTACTGGGCATAGTACCAGCCTTCGCGGGGCTTGGGTGAGTGCTTGTCAGCCCGGAGGCACCACGTACAGTGTCCGGTGTGGGCTCCCGGTGAAGGAGCGAGAGGGAGCGTCAGCCAGCCAGGGTTACATTGGGGCATGATACGCTGGTTGACCTGCCGACACGTGACCGGATGATATTGGAGGGGGGTCACCGGTGGACGGGGGCCGCTGCGCGGTCACGTGGTATAAAAGAGCTCTCGGGAGCCTTTGGGATAGAGCTCGAGAGATCTAGAAGGTGGGTGGGGTGAAGGGGCGGAGCCAGCCCCAGCCCAGGCCGATATATCGGGGGCCCCGAGAGGGGCTCAAGGTTTTTGTGTTGCTGGTGATGAAGATCCACGTCGGGTAAAAGAAGCCTCTAGCCACGCGGTCCGGGACCCAGCTTGTGGTCCGGGCCGGGATAGTGAACCGTGTCTAGTTCGGCTATAGCGTGGCTAGATGAGCATTCAACACCCAATTGTAGGTTGTGTTATGTTATGTTGAGTTGGTGAAATAAATAGTGTTGCTCCCAAGACAACGTCTGCGACTCAGTTGGACTCACTACACATACATACTCAGCTATATCTGTTCTGACCAATTGACAAATAAGGGGCTTTGCACTGCTCCTGCAAGAAATTAACGAATATAATTTTACACATCAACATGCAAATGAAATTTCACATACTTCAGCTTTATTAATGCAACTATTCCAAGGAGTTGTTTCAAAATAGAAATTCCACCATTACATGCAACCGTTTCTAAATACATTTTAAGGACAGCAAATTAAAAAAAAACATTATTATTTCATTGCCTCAGTTTCTTGTCCTTGGTAAAAAAATAAGTTGCCTATTATAAACGGAAATGTTTAACCCTGATGTTATTGGCTGTATTCCCAGTTCCTTGGGAGCCGTGAGGTTGATCAGCCCAAGGGGTCAGATATAGTGAAGGATGCCGTCAACAAACTTAAGGTGATTTTCAATTGTTAACCTTCCCCCTTCCCAAATTCTGAATTGCTCTTTTGTTAAGTTAGCAGTGTTAAAAATGAGCCTCACAATTGGAAGGTTGCGAATTCAAAAGCCAATTAGGGGTTGACCTTGCCCATCATGCCTTCTTGATTAATTCATCGAGTAAAACGTTGTGGGAAGTCTGCTGGCCCTGAGTCCCCACCATAGCAATGTGGAATTTCCACCACTGACTCTGGACTGCCAATGTGGATCAGTTTCACCCAATACTCATTTTAGCATGGTGAGCCTTTTGAGTTTTGTTTTATGAGTAGATCACATTTAATGTACAGTTTGTTGTTATTGTTTACTACATTTGACAACTCTTACACCTTTTATAAGGCTCACTCTTTTCTAAAGAGGCCATGTGGATGTCCACCTGAAAAGTCAGCAATGGTTGTCCCATTGTTAAATCACTAGTAGTCAAAAATGCTCTAAACATCTAGGCTAGGTCCTCTCAGAGAAGCACTGCATTCAATTTTCACGATGAGTAAACTGACATAAGTGAGATATGTCTAATGTAAAATAAAAATGTATGGATTTGTCATTGTTGGCAGGGGAGTTCCCATGTATGTTACTGCATACGATACGTGCTGTGCTAACTTTAAACTGTCCTACTTCTCATGTAGGTTATATGTACAGTATTGAACATTTTCCTCATGTTTAGTTTGATTTTTTTTGGTGTGTGTGTACCTTTGTGAGTGCCAGAACTGTTTATCCTGTGTTTGTTTATGGATCACACGACAAAGAAAAATGAACAGCTTTGCCTTGCTCAAGGAATACAACACATCATGTTCTTTCTTTTTCGAATTCTTTTCCCCAGTCCCTGCCCCCATGTGTTTCCCCATTGTGTCGTTTCTCATCCATCGGACTCTGCACAATGAAAGAAAAATGAGTTCGATTCCTAAAATTAAAACGAATACAATGTAATTGGCGAAAGCAGCGTTGGATTCAAAATCAAATTGGTGAAATCGTTGGTCGACTCGGAGACTGTTGCCAATGTCATGGGTAAGGAGCCAGCACCCCTTAGCTGTTGGGTCAAAGCCCTGAGGCAGGGACGGATGAGTGTGGAACATGAACACAGCCACACTGATACAGAGGGGGTTTTGTGTGCAATACACCGGATGTAACGCAACAGGTCAAGCAATGATTCATATCGCCATTTGGAGTTCATGATCTGTGGATATATCGTCCTTTATCTACACGCACGTATAAATGTATGAAATATTCTGATGATAATGGAAATATAACAATAAAGCAATGGTAATATGAATTATAACATATACAGTGTTTCCTATTTCATGATATTGATTGACCATATAATACTATTAATCAGAGTTTGGGGAAGACTAAGGTGAAATATTACATCGCCTTTAATATAACCAGCAGATTAAATAAACCCATTGAGACATGGAACTTTGTCTCTTGCAATGGCGACTTGGGTAATGAGTTATGGTACCATTGTGCGGAGCTTTGAATTCGATCTAAGTAAAAAAAATACATGCATTCATCCAAGGTCTCAAAAGCCAAGGCATAATTAAAAAATAAATATTTTTTTATAATAAAAAAACATTGACAAAAATGGAACAGCCGCACGAAGAATACTTGAAGAGAGTACACATATACATTATAAAAAAGGAAGGCATAATCTCATGTACTTTGGCCAAAGTTATTCACAGCAACATATGAAAATACTCTCTACAAATGTAATTGGAGAAGCAATGGCATACATTTTAATGGAGAAACAATGAATAACTTCAGATTTGCTGATGAAATACTGATTATAATTTTCAAAGGAATATGGCAGAATATGTGATAACAACTTAATAAAGAAACCTGCAAAGTTGAGCCAAGATAAATGAGTAAAACAAAGGTCATTAACAGGAAATAATGTTAACGATTGGGAAAAAGCAGAGCACGTGTATCTGGAACAGCAATTGATGACGGCCTGGGATAAAAAGGATTACATATAGATATACAGTACAAGAGAACAGGTTGGGGTAATTTTCGAAAACTGAACTCGAAAAGAAAGAGTCGCAAAAACATGTGCCTCAAGAAAATTTGTTTTCATTAGTGTGTACTAGCTGGTATGAGATAACCATAAACACAGAATATTAAACAAGCACTGAAAAGTTCTCATCAAAGAAATGCGTTCTCAAAATTACACAGAAAGACAAAAAGAGGAACACGTGAATTGGAGAAAATACATAGGTTAAACGCATACAGAATTTTCACACTGTTAAGAAAAACAAGTTGGCTTCCGCAGGACACAACAATGAGTGGTTTCACAGTCGGACACTATGTTAATGCTACCTTACAAATAACCAGTACTTGTTTAAGAAATGCATTAGTTGAGCTTCTGTATGATATCAGTTGATGCTGATTTCATATTATGATGACTTTTGCTTGAAATATGACCATACTTTTAACCATACTCTGATTTTATCGTGAGTTCATCATAACATTATAATAATCAAAAAATATTTATACAGAAGCAGTCAAGCACCCATCTAATAAAACGTTTGAAAACCAAAACATTAAAAATTTGGGTTGCCATTTGGGCCCCATAAATTGGGGCGATGAGTTAACTTCCACTTCTGAAAGAGACGGACAGATTAAAAATAGTTGGGACAATATTGAACTCGTACAGCAATTTCACAAGTATTCGAGATACATTTATTTCGTAGAATTACTATTAGTATTGGATGTGGTGGTAGAATGCCACTACTTTCACTGCAACGCGCGCTTTCTGATGCACTTCTGCGGCCGTCTAGAATGCTCTTCCTTCCGATGTCATGAATCCATTGGAACTATGCAATTCTTAATCTAGATTGAAAACTCATTTCTTTAGAACTGCGTTTTGTGTTTAGTTTGTTGTCCTTCGATTGGCATGGTAGGCTATGTATGTTGGCAAAATAAGTTCAACATACATACATACTTCAATGTCTGCTAATTAAACTTGGGACAAGCCAGAGTCGACAACATTGATATGGCTCCCATGTGATTAATGGATAATAGGAAGTTATCTTTGTTTTCACGTGATGATGTAATTAAATTTCCTTGACATAATGTATACTTCATTAGCGAAGGTCATTTAATATCTATGCCACCCATGTTTTGTAAAACAATATAGAGAAGCTATCTAAATGAAGGGGCGTATCTCTTTTCAGAGCAAATGCTGTCGTTTTGGAAATGAAAATTACAAGATTGACAACAATTAGCTCGTATCTGCGGTATATGAGGCACACTAAATATTAATCTCAAGGACACAGATGGTTCAGTAAAAAAAACGCTCGCATTGCTAGCTTAAAATTTTTAAAAATACAATCTATTACTCAAGGCATTCTAATGTTGTGTCCGTCATTGTGGTAGTTTGACCATACTTCAGCAATGCTTGTCAATGCGGGTTGGTGAAAGAGGGGAGAGGTCCCAGAACTGTTTCAGATATGAATCGCCACTTGTCTCAGCCATGGCTGGGCATCGAGCTCACCGGGTTCATAGTGCATTACGCTACCCATTGCATCACCACAATTCATGAACGTTAAATAACTTCGACATGTGAGATGATCTATTGAATGCATTATCTTTATAGTAATATAAGTGAAATGGATGTATAGAGGCATATACGGTTGTTGATAAGTTATTGCTGGGTTTTCTAATTTTCTCCCCAACAGTTTCATTCGTATCCTCTAAGGAATGTGTGGTTAACTAGTTTATTGCCATATGCTTGTTGATAGATTGTTCATGATTCATGGCTTGATTTCATGATGCATTTTACAAGTTAGCATTCATAATGCAATTCAATAGATTGGTAGCTGCATGTTTTAACTGATAGCGTGAATAAAGAGGTGGTTACTCTTTGGTTCTTTCGGTAAAGTCACGTAGAAAGAAAATAAATTAAATAATAGAGTACGACGTTTCGATTGCAGCACAAGCAACCGTCATCAGGTAGAACTAAATTTGAGAGAGAGACAAAACACAGACACGGAGACACACAGACAGACACACAAGCAGAGAGAGACAACACAAACACAGAGAGAGACACAACATAGACACACAGAGACCCAATGCCTCTGCGTCGAGGCTTTAAATAGAAAGAGGAGGGGGGGGGCAGAGAGAGAGGTGGGTCTGCTGGAGCAGAGAAATTAGCATGTCAATGAATAGACCCTGAAGCAATCTCAAACGGCCTATTTATCTCTCTAAAATTTACCAGCCTCTCATGCAGTGAGGGAAAAAAGTATTTGACCCCCTGCTGGTTTTGTACGTTTGCCCACTGACGAAGAAATGATCAGTCTATAATTTTAATGGTAGGTTTATTTGAACAGTGAGAGGCAGAATAACAACAACAAAAATGCAGAAAAACGCATGTCAAAAATTTTATGAATTGATTTGCATTTTAATGAGGGAAATAAGTATTTGACCCCTCTGCAAAACATGACTTAGTACTTGGTGGCAAAACCCTTGTTGGCAATCACAGAGGTGAGACGTTTCTTGTAGTTGGCCACCAGGTTTGCACACATCTCAGGAGGGATTTTGTCCCACTCCTCTTTGCAGATCTTCTCCAAGTCATTAAGGTTTCGAGGCTGACGTTTGGCAACTCGAACCTTCAGCTCCCTCCACAGATTTTCTCTAGGATTAAGGTCTGGAGACTAGGCCACTCCAGGACCTTAATGTGCTTCTTCTTGAGCCACTCCTTTGTTGCCTTGGCCGTGTGTTTTGGGTCATTGTAATGCTGGAATATCCATCCACGACCCATTTTCAATGCCCTGGCTGAGGGAAGGAGGTTCTCACCCAAGATTTGACGGTACATGGCCCCGTCCATCGTCCCTTTGATGCGGTGAAGTTGTCCTGTCCCCTTAGCAGAAAAACACCCCCAAAGCATAATGTTTCCACCTCCATGTTTGACGGTGGGGATGGTGTCATAGGCAGCATTCCTCCTCCTCCTCCAAACACAGCGAGTTGAGTTG